CAGCCTCCTGCACACTCTCCAATCCGGGACTCCTCAGGGGATGTCCAACTGCCGGTTCTGGCTGGATCCGATCCGGCCTAAACCAGCAGTTGGACATCCGTCTCGCAATCCGTGACCACTGCCACCTAACCACTTGCCTGCCTGCCTGCCTGCCTGCTTGATGGCCCCTACCACCTCTGACTGCCTGCCTGATCGCCTCTAACTGCTCCCTGCGAGCCTGATCACCCCCTAACTGCTCCCCCGTGCCGGCCTGATCTCCTCTTAACTGCTCCCCCCTGCCAGCCTGATCGCCCCTAACCACCTCTGCCTCAGCCCCTGCCACCTTGGCTTTGTCCAGAAGGATGTCCGGTCTAATTAGCATATTACCCTTTTATTAGTATAGATTACATTCTTACATATAACACATCTGCTTACAAGCTAGTAATTCAGTTACACCGATTACCTTTTTCTAGTACAGCTTTCTGTTTCAGTATCTAGAAAAGCTAGTATCTACTCATTTACTATTATCTTTGTAAAATTTAGTTTTCCTATCCAAGAATATCACTATGGCCTTGTCCAGGTGGCTCAGTTGGTTGGAGCATCATTCCATACACCAAAAGGTTGTGGGTTCAATTCCCAGTCAGGGCATATACAGGAGGCAGCCAATTGATGGTTCTTTCTCTTTCCCTCTCTCTCAATTCCTTCCTCTCTCTCTCTAAAATCAATAAACATATCCTTGGGTAGGAAAAAAAATATATATATAAAATCACTATGTCTCCATATAGTAAAATCTCAAAGACTTTGTGGTTTTCCTCATATTATGACATATATTTCTTATTAAGAGTACTGTATTTCTGAACATTATGAAACAGTTATCATTACTGAATAGGACTTTTTCCCTATCTTTCTAAGTGGTAATTGTATATAAGTATCAAAAGTCAAAAACATTCCTATATATCTTTGATCAAAACTTTTCATTTGATGCTCAGGAATTGTTTGCATTCCAATTAATTGCCAATTAATTCCAATTAATCTTTCTAGAAAATGGTTTTATAATGAGCCCAATTTTCTGACTACTAAGCACAAACCTGTATCCATCTCCATATTTCTCACTGTTTTTTTCCCTTCTGCGCCTTTGTTTCTCTCGCCGAGCCTCAATTCGCCGCTTTTCTTCTTCTTCTTCATTTTTTGGATCAATTTTTGCTAGGATATCAGACAAAAATATTAAGACTATAGATTTCCATTCTCCCTTTCCAGTCGCAGTTTATAAAGTACAGACATACAAAGTTTACTTTGTGATAGCAGATTAAATTGAATTCACCAAAAAAAAAAAAAAAAAAATCAGAGTTCAAGATTACCCAGTATATAAAATCATCATGAATTTTGTCATATTTACTTTTCATCTATGGGAGTCTTTGCTATATATTTTTCTTATATTTTTTTCTCTAAATCTGTGTATTTTTCCTTATTCTCATTTTAAGCAATAAAATCACTATCACCTAAAACAGCAATTTTTAAGTGGTGTGCCACAAGAATTTTTAAAACATGCAATACCTGACTATTTAGTCAGAGGCACTGACTTCTTTTTCCTTTGACTGTCAAATTTAAAACATGACAACAAACAACACAACAATAGCCATCTGGTGTGTATGAATCAAAATTATACCTATTTTTTGGTCAGATCAGGCAAAAGTATAATATATATTTTGGTGTGTCACAAAATTTTATTAATTGGTTTATGGGTTGAATACCGCTTGACCTCAAATCATCTTGAATACCACTTTAAGAAACACTGAAGTAAACTGACCCTGCATTAAAATGGAATTAAATGAAAACTAGAGAGCTGTGGACACAAAAACTCATATATATTATAGGTGCTTCCCCAAAATTTCTCAAAATGTGTGAACTCTATATAAAAGCAGTTTCTTCCTCTTTTTAAGAAAGCATTTTAATGCAAATATAATCCTATATAATAAAAGCCTAGGTGGCGTCACGCAGCGGCATCACAAGATGGCCACCACAAGATGGCCGGGGAGGGCAGTTGTGGGCGATCAGGCCGGCAGGGGAGGGCAGTTGGGAGCGATTAGGCTGGCAGGGGAGCAGTTAGGCATCAATCAGGCTGGCAGGCAGAAGCGGTTAGGAGCCAGCAGTCCCGGATTGTGAGAGGGATGTCCCAGATTGGAGAGGGTGCAGGCCGGGCTGAGGGACAAACCCCCCCCCTCCTGTGCACGAATTTTGTGCACCTGACCTCTAGTAAAGTAATAAAATACCTGGTACAAAATTTACCATTTTAACCATTTCCAAGTGAACAATTCAGTGACAGTAAGTACAGCACAATGTTATGCAACCATCATCATTACTTAGTTTCAAATTTTTTTATCACCCCAAATGGAAAGTCCATAAGTGGTCACTCCTAAATTTCACTTTCCCCAACCCCTTGGTAACTACTAATCTGCTCTCTGTCTCCATAGATTTCTCTGTTCTGGATATTTCACATAAATAGAATCATATAATATGTGGCTTTTTTGTCTGGATTCTTTTATTTAGCATAGTGTTTTCAAGGTTCATTCACGTATTATACCATATATCTGTACCTACTTCCCTTTTAATAGCTGAATAACATTCCATTGTGTGGACAGATCACATTTTCTTTCATCCATTCATTTGTTAATTAACAATTGCATTGTTTCCACCTTTTGGCTACTATGAATAATGCTGCTATGAAAATTTATGTACAAGCTTTTGTTTGAATACTTCTCTTCAATTCTTTGAAGTATATACCCAAGAGTAGAATTGCTGGGTGACATGGTCAGTCTATATTTATTCATTCAAAGAACTATCAAAATGTTTCCCACAGCAGCTGCACCATTTTATATTCCCAACAGTAATGTGTGAGGGTCCCAATTTTTCCACTCCTTGCCAACACTTTGTTTTTATTATGTCCATCAACTTCACATGGTGTGTAGTGGTATCTCACTGTGAGCAACTTCTTTCATATAATACATTTAACTTTAGACTTAAAAAAACTAATCTGCCCTTAAAGTTTTCCTTTTATGCATTGTTTTCCTTTTAGATTGTTTGTAAAAATACCTAATATAAAATCATGAATACCCAGGGATTCATAAACTTGACAGTAAACAAATATTTAGGCAGCATTTGCTATGTATACAGTGGAATGTTTCAAAATTATATAAAATCAACACCTTAAAAAGAGCTTAAATGTATATCCTTATTAATCAACCATTTCCATATTCCCATTGGATTTCCCTAAAACTCTCTACGGAAAATCTACAAGTATATAACCTCAAACTAGAAGTAATTGGGTTTCCCTTTCATATGCTAAAGCTATGATATATCGCCGAAAACCGGTTTGGCTCAGTGGATAGAGCGTCGGCCTGCGGACTGAAGGGTCCCAGGTTCGATTCCGGTCAAGGGCGTGTACCTGGGTTGCGGGCACATCCCCAGTGGGGGATGTGCAGGAGGCAGCTGATCGATGTTTCTCTCTCATCGATGTTTCTGACTCTCTATCTCTCTCCCTTCCTCTCTGTAAAAAATCAATAAAATATATTTTTAAATAAATAAATAAATAAATAAAGCTATGATATATTAGTATATTGTACCTCCAGCAAAATGACTGAATATGGTTCTTCTACTGCTTTTCAACAAATCATATAGCCTATACTACAAGACCTCTTATTCCTGAATATTTTGCTTACTTTTCAAAATGCCTACCTCATGCCTAACAATAAAAGGATGAACTGGGTACGGAATTTTGGCTTCATTCTTAGCTATACTATACTATTATCAAATATTGTTAAAAGGGGGGAGAGAGGAGCATCCTGGACAGTGTTGTTCAGTGGTTAGAGTGTTGGCCCATGCACCAAAGAGTTGAAGGTTTGATCCCCAGTCAAGGGCGTGTACCTGGGTTGCAGGTTTGAGCCCAGCACTTGTCAGGGTTCATACAGGAGGCAACTGATCGGTATGTCTCATAACTCTCTCTCCCTCTTTCTCTTCTTCCCTTCCACTCTCTCTAAAAATCAATGGAAAATATATTCTCAGGTGAGGATTAACCACAACCCAAAAAAAGTCATTATGTCCAGAAGATTAAAAGCAAATTAATTTTCTAGAAGAAGTATAGATTTTCCTGGTATCTACGACCATGAAACATTTCTTCCCTTTGTCCTCATAAAGAGCATTCTATGTAATATAACATAACACTTCCTCAACAATACCTCAAACAATAAATACACTGTAACACCCAGCAGCTTGACTCAAAATCATGTGTGAGTCCATTTTAAAAATATAAATATTTTGACTCCACCCTAAACCAGAATTTAGGGAAGAGGGATAGATCAGGGCATGTGAACTTAAAAAGTATCTTGTGCCCTGGCCAGTGTGGCTCAGTTGGTTAAGCGTCGCCCAGTGCACTGAAAGGGCACTGACTGGTTCGATTCCCGGTCAGAGCACGTACCCAGGTTGTGGGTTCGATTCCCAGTTGGGGTGCATGTGGGATGCAACCAATCAATGTTTCTCTCTCACATTGATGTTTCTCTCTCTCCTCCTTTCCTCTCTCTCTAAAATCAATAAAAACATTTTTTAAAAGAAATAAAGTATAAAAATTTTAAAAATAAATAAATAGTATCTTGATAATTTTGATGTTCATTACTAATAACTGCAATAACTGCACTAGGGGTTTCACGAACCTAACCGCTATAATTACAATGCAGCTTGTCTATATAAACATGAAAAATTATCTAAAAGCACTGAATTAAAAAAGGTAAAAAGTATCCACAGCAATTGTATTTTCTTACTTACTAGGTGATTTGCTGAGGCTCATCTTCTCCACAGGTTTTGCTAGCTTGGGTTTCTTGATGAAGGTTCCACTGGGCTTATTAAATTGTTGCATCATTTTTCTCTTTATTCCTCTTGTAGCAGCAACTGTCACATTGGCGGATTTATTTTGATAGTCAACAACAATTCCAGGTCTATGAATGCTTCCAAAATCACTCATATGCTGCAAATTTGTGAAATCAAGAAATATTAGCATAATATCCAAAGATAAAGAATGAGTTCATACAAAATTTACATGTTTTCTATCTAATAATTTTTACCTAAAAATTCCCAGAATGTAACTAAATTTACATGTCCACTCTTAATAAACACATTGGAAAACTTTGTAAATTATTACATGAACTCAAATCCAGTCAATTAGTATTTTTATTTCCAGTAGAACAAATATGTATATTAGCTATTTTTATTTTTACAATTCAAAATTAGTTGAGATCATAAACAACATATGTGCCTGTCAAAATATTACCACTTGTACAACTCTCTGACAACTCCTCTTCAGAGTTCCTAATTGATATTTTCCCATGAAAAGACCTTAAAAGAAATCTTTATTTTACTAAAGCCTGGCTTAAAACTAAGAAACACAAAGAAGACCATATTTGAAGTTTGAAGTTGGAAATAAAAAAGATCCAGAAATCACTTATGATTTCTCCCTGTTGAAAAAGGGAATGAGAAGGCGAGATGGAACATTAGTATGAAATAGGAGAGTTAAAGCATAACCATGCATCAACTTCCAAGACACACTTCAGATAAAGAATTACATCTGACGTTCCATTCACATTCTTACCTAGAGAAACATATTCTGACCCAGAAGCCTGAGAAGCAAAAGTTTACAGACGAAGAGTCATGCAACCAAGCGACTCTGTGTCCCTTCCTCTTTTAGTCATTAACAAAATCCACTACACCAAGAGGTCACATGTCCAAAGGAATTTGTTCTTCTAACCTTATTTTTATAAGATAAAGAATGAGGAGTAATCTGAAGAGAAGGATCCAATGGGAATTGTACAAGTGAAGATTAAAAAAGAAAACCCTATTGGTTCATCTACTTCATTAACAGGAGGAAAGAAAGAAAAGTCCATTCAGACTAGAATGGTGAATACAAAGTACAGGAATACCTGTTTTTCTATTGTGAAAACAAAATTGATATTTGAAGTCTCATTAAGAAAAAAGTCATTTGCCTATAAAGTAATAATACAGCATGGAAAATGCTAGGTGTTTTCAAATTTTACCCCAACTATTTTCATTTAACCTACAATCATAAAGTATGGTGGAATAGCAACATATTGCTTACATTTATATATTATGCTTAGGATACCTATCTAACCTAGTGGACTGGAATAAATTAGTGTTTCCAGGCAATGTATACAGTCACATCAGAAAAAATCTTGATTAGTTATCCATTAAAGGTGCAATGCATTTTACATAAGAGTTAACTGTTATAAATGCAAAATTTCTAAACAAGTATGACACACTACACTGATGTACCAAAAGCTAGTAAACAGTCAAAATGTGTGCCCTACTACATTTTTTATCAGAAGTACTTCCCTCTGCAAAGAGATTAAGAGCCACTGACTCAAAAAATAAAAAATAAAACACATTTTTTACATTATAGCAAAAATACAGTTATTCTTTATATGACCAAACTAAATAACTCCATAATCTACATACACTTACTAGGTAAAATTTCATGTTAGTCAAGTTCCCTAAGAACAGGCATAATCTTAAAATTAACACTGTATATCCTGAAATTAAACACTTGAAGACTACTTTATCTGCTCATTTAAGCAAAAATTTACAAAATATTACTTCCTAAGAAGGAGCCATAAACATATACAGGTAGGAAATTATTTTTCAATATTAAAACTGATGACAGAGAAAGTATTATACCCAGCAATAGGACATACTTTAAGAGTGAATTAGCAAAATTATACTGACCACAAATCATTCTACAACCTATTTTACATATCAACTTCTTCACCATGTAAACAAAGCTAAGCTACCCTCAACTATCACCAACTTTTGATCTCTTATGTTTAATGTGAAATATGGAGCTTTGAAGAAATAGAGTTTAGTAGCAAAGTATAAACATTTTATCATACATTGCACCTTTAACCTACTCAAAAAACTCCAAAAGGGTTGTTACCTTTTACAATAATCCAAGAACTGTCCCACTAGCAAAACTGCTGGTGTTTACAAGGAAAAATGCAACTCCTTTTAACCCCTTTTAGACCAAATCTAACATCCTCACCTTTTTAATAAAGGGAGATTTGGCAAAACTTTATGAACAATCATCTCACACTGTCACTTATTTTCTGAGGTGCTGGAGAAAGTTTTACAGACAACCTAAAAATTATGCTTATGACTCAGCTTTTGCTTCAGAATACACTGGGATGAACAGTGTTTATTCTAGTTGAAAACCACGGTCTTGAAAGGGTTTAAAAGAGTGACTAGTGAAAAGAATCTGAAAAGATTCTGTTGTACTTACTCCTCGGCCTCGGCCTCTGCCTGTTGATGGTCCTCCAAAAGCATCATAGTTTCTGCTTCCAAACGTACTTTCAGGATAAGCAGGCGTTCCTCTCCCCCGAGAGCCTACAGGTGCAGGCTTCATATGGGGTGAAGAAAAACTGCTGTAGGAAGAGTAATTCTCTCTTCCTCTGTCCTCCATAAACCCAGGCCTCAATTTTGAACGGGAGTAAGGTGCTTCCCAGCTAGACCCGCCCTGGTTTCTACCTCCGAAAGAGTCAAGGCTATTCCGGTAGGAGCTCTCAAATCGACCACCATAACTACCTCCGAAGCGGCTTTGTTCGGGTTCATTAAAACCATAGCCAGATCTGTATAGATCTCGCCCACCCAGAGAAGACCTGGAGTCGTAAGACTCATAAGGTCCAAACCTGGAAAAATTGCACAGTGAGGGAAAAAACAAAAGTAAGCTTACTAATGTTAGACAATTCAAAAGACAAATTATCAGATGACATTTATCAACTAAAATTCATTTATACCATACTGGTTTGCACAGTTCTACTTTTGTTCACACTTGATTAGGGCTGGGCAATTCAACATGAGACCAGATAGAAAGCTACCTGAGTCAGTTTTTAAATATGAATTGAGTTAAGTAAAGCTTAGCTTAAAAATCTGCTTTTTAGCAGCTTTTCTATTTTATTAAAAATAAAAGATTTATCTGTAATTATTTTAGCCCAGCCCTAGTCTTAGAAAAAGTCATTTGCTAAATTTCACAAACTACTCAAACTTTCTTTAAATCCATCCTCAATATTGGAAAAAAAACAAAATATTTACAGTATTTAGGCTTTCAATAGGGACACAAATTGAAGACTACACAGATGCAGGCTATTATGACACAGAAGAGATCCTTTTCCACCCTCAATAATCTATATCACAAAACTGCTTCATTATATTTATAGTAGTTCAAATTTGGAGAAAAATCTCTGGTTATAAAATTTGACAATCTGCCAAACTTTGGCTAAGGTCAATAATCAATCCTCAGTCACTTTTCACTTATAGACTAGTAAATCTAACAAATCTAGAAGGATAAGCACATAAAATAGGACATAAAGGTAAATGACCACCAGCATATACCCTCTGCATATGAATTTTCAAGGCAGATGAGAAAGAATACATTTTATAACATCATCAATTATTTGAAAAATTATTTCCTGGTAGGAAATTATCACATAAAACTATGCTAAAAAAAGGAGCACACAATCTCAAGGTTTTAATAGAATCAACAGAAGAAATGAATCATCTTACTTCTCACAAATCCAAAGTATGCTTGACACTTTACAACACAATTTTAAAAAGGCCCACAATTACACGAGATAAACAATAACATCTACATAATTTATACGCATTACATTTACAATGTAACAAGGCAATAACTGATATAATAAAACATTTAAATGTGTTACATTACTTTATTTACAGATAACTAAATAAATAGAAGGTACTATTTACTTCTAAATCCTAGTAACCATATAAAAAGTATTCCCCTTTCCAACTACATTTTTCAAAGCATCTATCTTATAAGCAAAATTGTCATAACTGTTCATTTTCTTGAACATAACTGTTCCTCTACTATCAACCATAGTGGCACACTTGAAACAGAAAGAAGAAAGTAAGCAAGATTCAGTCCATCCTTAAGGAATCTGGATCCTTCAATTTATGAAGAAGGATGATAGTTTTAAATGTTCTCTAACTAATTTTACTATTTGGTAGGAATCTTTGTGTCTCAAAAAGTAAACTCCCTTTGTCTGAAATAAGGTCAACTTTAAAGCCTATAGTAGCTCAACTAGGTTTATGCTTTCCACAGTATCAACAGCAAAATATAAATACATTCTGAACTCTAGTGCATTAAAATAAGCAAAAGGTATAGTATTCGTGGCTTTAATACAATGCTCCTAGCCTAGAGCACAAGTGGTTTTTGGTTTCAGTAGTACCTGCCAATAAGTACCCTAGATATGACATAAAGAACTTTTTACTATTATACCTTTCCTCCTTACAACTTACTTTAGAGTTAAATTTAGAGTTAAAAGAATAGCTATCTTAAATGTTTCTTAGAAATTGAACATGGCTAGGCTAGTTCAGCTAAACCCATTCTAGTCAAAGACTGTTTTGCTGCTTTTAACAGCACCCCACATTAGGAAAGATTTTTTTTAAATCATTAAGAAAAAGCTTCCTATATAATATTTCAAGTAACATTTTACACCATTTATTCAGGACATTCTGATTAAGAATTAAAAGTAAAAGAAATATTCACTGCTAAAAACAGAAAAATCTTTAATGATTTATGTATTGAAATGGTAATAGTTATCTGAGGTTCTTAAAAAAATGTCTGCCAGTGATTTTGAGATAATTTTTATAACCATTAGTTAACACCTTTAAACATTTAAGGTGATTATTCAGTATCAAATAGTGAAGTTCAAGTATCATAACGTGCCTAAGGAATTCTTAAATTAAAATATCCAGAATCTTATAATCTTCTAATTATTTGGCTAAGTGATTAAGCAATTTACCTGCTACCCCCACCACCACCACTGTGATTGTCCATGCCATATGACTGGTTTAGGTAGGAGTCCATGGATCTTTGACCCCCATAGGATCCATGGCCATAGTCACGATCCATCCCTATAAAGGGTTTAAAAAGAAAAAAATTAAATGATGCTCACCTTTACTGGCACCCAAAAGAAGAATTTTTAGATAAATATCCTTGAATGCCAGACCTCCATAAGATCCAGGGCCATAATCTCGATCCATTCCTAAAAGAATCAATAACAAAAGGTTGGTAAAATATACCATTCTATTCAGGAATCTTTGCATAAAACACAAGATATTCATATTAATCATCTGAGAAAATAGTTCATCAATAACATTTAAACCACAGTCACACTAGACAATGAAAAAAAAACACAGAGATGACAATTTACTGAAAATTCAGATTTCCTATAGAAACCTAATGTTTCAAAGAAAAACCGCAACTAAAAACTTCTATATTAGAATTACTTTCAATTTAACCAATATTTATTTGACTAGAGTACTCCTATAAGGCCTTGGTATTAGATACTACAGAGTATATAATTAATAATTAAAAATTACAAGAAAAATCAGCATTTAATGTCAAAAGAGAAAATTTTTGTTGTAAATATATTTTTCTTCATCAATCTGTTCTCTAAATGTCTAAAAAACCCAGAAGCAACCATATTTTCAATTAGCCGAATTTCAATTACTTCATATGGTAATTGAACTAGCTATTTTTAAAAAGTAAAAATCAGAGTGGGGCCAATTTGTGGTACTGGGCCTGTAAATAATGATTCAACGAATATTTAATTCCTCAAATACTTTGAATAAGGGAATTAATGTGAATTCTAGTAATACACACACTAAAAAAAATGTCTAATACATACAGTAAGAGCACTAAATATATCTTATTACACTGCAATTCTACCTCTATTTCAGTCTCCGACATAAAAAATAAATACAACAGATAATAAAATGAATTTATTATTATAAAAATGAAAAAATTTAAAAACCATTTAGAATGTTTCCTATAAATTTTATGCACTAATAAATGCAATAGTATACACAAATTTTATGCAAAAATACAAAGCAAATATCTTAATTTATATTTTTTAAAACATTAAATACATTTTAATTACAATCATTTAAATATTTCCGTTCCAAACAACAATAATAACGCCGACAGCAAAACTTTACAAAAATACTACTTGAAATCTTGCAACTTTAAATCTGGAAGTGAACTAAATGATCAAATTCCATCTCCTTGTTTTATAGATTAGAAATTGAAGTCCAAAGACATGAAATAATTTTCCCGAAGTCCCATAAGTATCTACCCCTCTAGCTTCGTGCTGCTGCTTCTACCTGAAAGAAACACTCTCCTCTACTACCCCAAGTATCTGTTTGTTGAAATCTTTTAAAGTCCATTTCAAATACTAATCCTATTGATATAGCCTCAGCTGATTATCATCTTTCTTCTGAATATCTACAAGTCTGTAGCTCTTATCTGGTGCTCATTATACTCTACCTTATATTCTATTTGTGACCTCATCTTAAATGTACACTAGTCTTGTGCAGGGTCTGACTTTTAGTAATTTTTTATATACTCTTGAGCAATAGTTCTCAAGGAATAGTGTGTTGACCACTGGAGGTTGCCAAGACCCTTTCAGAGGGTCCACAAGGTTAAACTATTTTCATAAATAATACTAAGACATTATTTGCCTTCTGAGCAGGGTTGACATTTGCACTAAAGAATGCAAAAGCAGTGATGGGTAAAACTGCTGGTCTCGTAGCATATAAATCAAGGCAGTGGCACCGAACTGTATTAAGAATTGCTGTATTCTTCAATACTACACACTTATAGTAAAAATAATAAAATAAAAATGCCACCTACACTTAAGAATGTCCCTGATGACGCACTAGAATGATTAGTTTTATTAAATCACTAGAGGCCCGGTGCACGAAATTCGTGGGCTGGAGGGGGGTATCCCTCAGCCCAGCCTGCACCCTCTCCAATATGACATCCCTCTCATAATCCGGGACTGCTGGCTCCCAACCGTTCGCCTACCTGCCTGCCTGATCGCCCCCGAACCACTCCCCTGCCAGCCCAGTCGCCCCTAACTGCCCTCCCCTGCTGGCCCGGTCACCCCTAACTGACCTCCCTGCCGGCCCGATCGCCCCTAACTGCCCTCCCCTGCAGGCTTGGTCCCCCCCAACTGCCCTCCCCTGCAGGCAGGCCTGGTCCCCCCAACTGCCCTCCCCTGCAGGCAGGCCTGGTCCCCCCAAATGTCCTCCCCTGCAGGCCTGGTCCCCCCCAGCTGCCCTCCCCTGCTGGCTCGGTCACCCCTAACTACCCTCCCCTGCCGGCCATCTTGTGACCACATGGGGGCGGCCATCTTGTGCAAGGGTATGACAGTCAATTTGCATATTACCTCTTTATTATATAGGATTATAGAGGATGATATTCTGTGTAGTAAAATGGGAAGTATGCATAGCACCTAAAGCAGTTTTGCTACATATCAAAGTCCCACAGTTCTCTCCAAGAAAAGCCATTCTGTGAATGTTTTGTGAGCTGAATTAACCACATTTTACAAGGAATATTATTTAAGGAATACCTTTCTTACTAGAGAGAAAGACTGACATTCAAAAACTGGCTTTCGGTGAGGTCATTTGGCAGGAATTTTCTCAAAAATGAACAAAGTAAAACTGTCACTTCAAGGAAAGTAAGTGAAAATATTTATTGCCAATGATAAAATTCAAGCAAAAATTAAAATTTTATAAAACTTTACCTACCACCTTGAGTTTGACAGCTTCTCAATATTTAAAGGTTTTTCTGATAAAAACTGGTAGCAGTATTAATGACTTTTTTATATTGTACAATAAAATCTGTCAATATATATTCAGAAAATCTGAATAACTTAGTAAACCAATATTTTCCCAATCTAATCCCTGATGTTACAGGATCATACATACTAAAAAAATCCAGCAAGAGTGCAAGACATACCAATAAATTTCAACATAATAGAGTACAAAAAGTTAATCAATATACAAAATGTATTGACGTATTTTACATTTTTATACCACAATTTCAAGTTGGGTGTGTAATTTACATTTATAGCACAATATAATTCATACTATCCACATTGCAAGTACTCAATAGTCAGTCACACATGGCCATATTAGACAACATAGTTCTAGACTAAGAAAATAGTCAATTGTTTATCTTTAGAGTTGGTGAGCATACAATGATTTTATGCTCATACATCATATATACAGGATAATTTTGAGATTACGTTTTCAAAATAAAATGCTCTTCTCTAAGGCTTCATCTTATATAATAAAACCCTAATATGCAAATAAACCGAACAGCGGAACGACGGGTCGTTATGATGCACACTGACCACCGGGGGGCAGACGCTCAATGCAGGAGCTGCCCCCTAGTGGTCAGTGCGCTCCCACAGCCAACCTCCTGCAGCTGGCCAACCTTCCATGGTCCCTCCCCCTGGCTGGCCAACCTCCTGAAGTCTCTCCCCCAGGCCGGCCAACCCCCGGTAGTCCCTCCCCCTGGCCAGCCACCCAGATCGGCCCCGATGAGGGTGGGGGGGCAGCCAGCCAACCTCCCGCGGTCCCCCCCAAACTGGCCAACCTCTCACGGTCCCTCCCCCCGATTGGCCCCAATGGGGGCGGGGGGGCCTGGACAGCCAACCTCTCGCGGCCCCTCCCCCAGCCAGCCGCCGCCCCCCGAATAAGCTCTGATCGCTGGCCAGGCCAAGGGATCCCACCCATGCACGAATTCGTGCACCAGGCCTCTAGTATTAAAAATAACCTTAGAGTTAGGTTCAGTCAGGTACACAAAACAAAAATCTTTATTTTACTATTTGCGCTAGTTTCTATTTGGAGTTAGCAGAGGCTGCCTTTAGTTTTTTGACTCTGTGTTTTTATTTCATAAGGATAAGAAGTCATAACTTACTAATATTTATTGAACACTCACCTTGTGCCAGGTACTGTAGAGTACCCAAAACTTAACAGAACTACTTTTATATAGCAATGACCTTGCTTTATTGTTCATAGTACTGTTACTATTCAGTTAATTAAAATGAAAAAGTGGCAATATCTTTATATTATATATAATCAGTGTGATTATAGAGATAGTCCCTGCATTATTTTTCTCTCTAGCAACTGCCATCTTACATATATTACTTCTTTACCATGTTTACTGTCCATTTCATCTTACTAGACTGTAAACTCCACAAGGGCAGGAGTATTTGTCCATTTTTTTCACTACTAGTATATTCAGCTCCTTGAACAGTAACTGATACACAGCAGTTACTCCAAAAACACTGAATGAAATCAAACTGTATCTTTGAAATTGATGTCTTCATTTACAAAATATAGATAACCCAGACCTCAAAGTAATCTTTAATCAGAGTTACATTCCAAAATCATTCAGAGTACTTTTTTCATAACATACACAGCCAGGGACCACTTGCCCTATAGTTAAGATTCAAGAGGACTAGGGTATGACCTGAACAGATATACCTGGAAAGAGCTCCCCAGGGGAGTCTAACGATCACCCTCAAATAAGAACCGCTGTTGGAGCTAAAATTTAAAAAATAAAAGTACTAACATCGGTGATAGAAATTTCTAAAGCTCTTTTTATAACACTGTATATCAAGAAAATAAAATGTCTGGCCCTGCATTTCAAAATCCTGTATTTTGACATTAAATCCAACTCTCTAATAATCTTACTAGAAATCATGGCCTTTTATCCTTCCAAATCACTTTCTTCAGTAAAAACACTAGTCCTACTCACTTCAGTTTAAAATCCTGGATTCATTTTTTATTCATGCCTCTCAATTTTCTACACATTACTAGTCAGCCTGCAAGCTCTGCTAATTTTCTCTAGAAATGTCTTAGTTTTTTTTCTTAATATTTTTTAAATTACTATTTTCACTTCCCAAGTTCAAGATCGTAAAATTCTTATACCTGAATTTATAAAATGGTTTTCTAGATAATTTTCCAATTTTAAGTCTAACCTACATATGGATGCAAATTAAACAATTATAAGTAATAATACAAGAATGAACTTTTGCATACTCACAACTATAAACCTTCTTTTGCCAATCCTGTATATTGAATACTTCCTATATATTAAGCCTTATTAGGCCACATCAAACCCAAAGTTTCTCTAAATTCTTAGAGATGATAAATTAAAATTAACTGGACTGTAATTATCCCCATAAAATGGAATCATTTCTTTATTTAGTAGTACATTTGCTTCAGTTTTATTTTGTGAATCTATTATATTTTGTACAACAATTGAATTTAGCATTTCTCTGCAATCAGAATTTTAATTCCACTACCTGGGGTCCTTCGTGCAATGCTTTTTAAAATATATTTGATTTGTGGCCTGGCCGGTGTGGCTCAGTTGGCTGAGCATCATCCTGTGCACCGAAAGGTTGCCGGTTCAATTCAAGGTCAGGGCACATGCCTGGGTTACAGGCTCAATCCCCAGTCAGGGTGTGTGCAGGAAGCAATTAATGGATGTTTCTCTCTCATATTGATGTTGCTCTCTCTCACTCTCCCTTCCTCTCTCTCTAAAATCAATAAAAAACATATTTTTTAATCTCTTTAATTTGTCCCATGTTCTTTTTTGTGTGGTATCATCCTGCTTAATAACTACCAAAATGGCATCCAATCGTATTCTGCATACCTCTCTAGATTTTACCTAACTATGTAGTCACAACACCAACATCATGCTATGTTAATAAGTTATCAGGCTTCTTCATGTGCCCCTCTAAACAGCTCCTTAAACACTAACATATTTGAATATATTAAAGAAAATGACCTCAAAAAACAAGGTCAAACAGAAGCAATACAGAACCAGGCCAATAATCCATGTAATCTACAGAACCAGGCCAATAATCCATGTAATCTACATTACTCAATACCAAAGCCTCTAATTCAACAAAAATATCTCAGCCAGTTTCTTGTAACTTATCACTAAAAATGCAGTCAGAGCCTTTTGAAATAAATTAAAGCAATCAGTATTAAAAAAAAAGAGAGTCAAGCTAATATGAATAGCCCTAACTTTTCCTGATCCCAAATTCCCTAATTCAAATACTAACTATAGTAGGACAACATTAATCCTAAGAAGTGATATATCAAGAGGCAAAAAAAACACCAATTAAAACAAGGTAGAACTGGCTTTTTACATTAGTACTTTATGTGCATGAAGAGAGAAACTGAAATGTATCCCCTAACATATTTAACAGCAAATGAAAATGGATACTCACCATTAAAACCCTGATAAGTATTCCTGCAAGCAGAGTGTGTGTAATCTATGAAGACATATCAACAGAAAGAAATTAGTGCAATATTAGCAAAAAATCTTACATTATAAACCCATCTATTTAAAAGAAACACTTTTTTTAAATGTCATTAACTTAATTATCTGCAAAAATGGGGTATAATTATTAATATTTCATATGGGAAAACATATTATCTCTTTCTCTGCATTATCTCGCCAAATAGCAGGTTTATCATCCAAAGTATGGTAATGTAAAAATTAGTTTATAACACCTAATATGTAAAAACAGCCAAAAGATAGGATCCAGTACTGATTTATGCAGAGTAACAAAAGGGCAGGCAGATAAATTAAATTATGTATCAAATAATGCAAACACAAGGACATATGAGAATTGATTCTATGAAGTGTATAATTTTTCAGATATTTCTTTTATCACTTAATTTGCTCTCTAAAGATTTCGGAATCTTATCTGAAAAATGCGCACATGAGCACACTATTATCTATGCAGGATGTGACATAACCCAAAATCATATTGGTAATTTCCCTGTCAAAACTAATTTAGCAACTGCTAAACCCTTTAGTTAATTTTACTAATAAATACTGAAATGGTCATGTGGGTGCAACAGAAACCAAGTACACTACACGGGATTGGATTCAGTTATATTGTCAGTCAAATACTACCATCCCCTAAATATAGTGATGGTGTGAAGAGGGGGCATGAGAGAGGGAGTATTCTCACTGACACTATTTAGAACTGTAGGTACACGGTAATCATAAAGAGCAAATACACTGTTTTATTCCTGTTTTTCAATTCTCTACAGAAAATGAATTCCCTTATGCGGGGAGGGGACCACTCTCATTGTTCCCCAACCCTCCACCTTAGTAGCTTCTGCTGCACCTTGGGTGTTGGCAGTCACCCAACTCGGACATGAAAACATTCTACATTTTTAAATTTAATTCCCAACTCTGGCACTTCAACTACTCATTGTTTAAAAGTTATCTCTATCAAAATGAGTCAAAGTCCACCTCAAACAAAAACGCCAGTGTGTTCATAGGTGACCTTTCTACTACAAAGTAACTTACAAGTGTCCACAAAAGGGTGATACCAGTCCTCTTTTATATCAATTTGGCAGAACACTTTGTGGCATGATATCAAAGATCAAAAGATCATTTATGAAGACTCAAACGCTGAGATCACACCACATTCAATATTAACGATATTTTTTTTTTTTTGCTTGGGTTGCAGTGGTTCTCAACCTTCCTCATGCCGCGACCCTTTAATACAGTTCCTCATGTTGTGGTGACCCCCAATTTCATTGTTACAAATTGAACGTAATTAAAGCATAGTGATTAATCACAAAAACAATATGTAATTATATATGTGTTTTCCGATGGTCTTAGGCGACCCCTGTGAAAGGGTCGTTCGACCCCCAAAGGGGTCGCGACCCACAGGTTGAGAACCGCTGGGTGAGAGGCTTACAACTAGTTGCTAGCGAGCTGGTTTTCTTTAGAAATGCCCGGTTCCTCGGGAGGAAACCCAGCTGAATCACTCAGGCCCCCTCTCACGACTCCCTCGTGCTGTCACTACACATTCATTTTGTCTTGGCACCATTTCCTATGAGAGTTGGGCAAGATTCAGAGGCAGGGCGAAGACCCCCTCACGTTACTCGGGGAGGGTGTGACAATGGCGTCGGGGAGCGGAGGGAGGGACGGCGGGAAGGGGCTGCTAGGATTCGGCTCATTGAGCCCGAAGCGCAAGCCGGGCGGCAGCGGCCGGGTCCGGATCTGAAGGGCACGGAGCGCTGCGCCGGAATCCCAACTTCCGTGCCCTCCGCACGCAGCCCGGGGAGACGCGCTTCGGCTCGGAGCTGCTTCAAAGGCGGGACGAACCACCAGGTAGGTGCTCGCGGGGAGAAAACAGCCCCGTTTCCTTCCCGTGCCGGGAAGATGTCTACCTATACGTGCCGCTCGGAGACGCCCTTTAAACTCGTCTCCAACTAAGACAGCCAGGGCTCTCGCTGCGAACAAGCCTCTGAAAATTGTCCCCGGGGCTGAGCATTTACTAAATGGGTCGCTGCCCTGCGGGCGAACACGAGCCGAGGCGGGGCGGCCCCGCTCGCCCGCGACCGGGAAGTTGGAGG